TCGTTGAAAAACAACCTACTCCTGTACGGGAGCATAGCAAACTTTTATTCTGATTGCTGATTTTTGCAGATTATCTCATCTAATAAGGTAACGATATTGACTGTATTTTCAAAAAGTTTATTTCGCTAATTTATTTTATTAATGATTTATTTATAGTGCTAAAGACAGTATTGCCAGTAAATTAGGTTGGTTACAGGAAGCAATGATACGTGAGATTATAGATTTCATGAGAGGTAAACGTTAAAACATTATGCGACGTCCTGTAGATTAATTACCTTTTTTTTTTTTTCCCGTAAATTAATAATTTAGTTTTAACCAAATTTACTATTATCAGAGTCTGACGTTTCCATGGTTGACGTGCAAACCCACTCGGACGTACTTGACGAAACTATCTTACGAAAAGTATTGCTCCAAGTCATGCGGCTTAAATTTGAACTATACAAACAACAATAAACTTTTTTGAAACAATGCTTTCTGTGACGTAGGATAAGCTAAAGTCACTGGTAGAAGCGCAAACCTAGTATTCAATTAAACAAAAAATGACTTTAATGTATTTATAAATAAATAATAATTTTTTCTGCTTTTCGTTCTAATTGATTATACAATGCCAAGTAGAGATGGAAAATGTTTTAAAACATGTTAGTTTGATTTAAAACTGTTTTTAAATGATTTAATACATTCTAACGTAATCATAATACGTAACAATGGGATAGTATTTATTTATTTAACTAATTTTATCAAAATAAAATACAACTTTATCATGATCTCTTTTTAAAATATAAAATTATAAACAATCATGCTCCGTGGGAGACCTCTATTAAAAGAAATTCGCAAAAGTTACGGCAGCTGCGCCTTGCCAAAGTGTAACTACTGTGAAGAGGACTTTGTGGATTTAGTCGCTTAATTAAAGGATCGCTAATATAGATGCAAAAAGCTTCCTTATTAAATAATGAACGGTAAAAAAACTTGTTGCAATCTATCAGAATTTAAGAATTCAAAAAGAAATTGAGATTGATGGTTGGTTCGAAAATGATGATAATTAAATTTATAGTTATGCATTAAATTAAAAAGAGCGTACAAAAAAATAAAAAAATCATATATATATATAAATATAGTTAAGCAACTGCGCATTTCTTGTAATTATATAATAACGAAAGTTTATAAAGTTAGTATTTTACCAATGTTTTAAAAAGTTTTTTAAAAAGATCTAAAAAACTGTTTAAAACGTTTTTTTCCATCCCAAGCAATATTCCTCTAATTTTGATTGCTTATAATTCGTTTGGCCAGATTGGAGAAGAGGGCTCTAAACGATCTGCGAATAAGTAATCGGTTCTAATTGTCCGAAGCGTAGCCGTCAGATCATGTGATAGATGTCTGTCACGGCGCGTAACTAATCAATAAAAATTATAAAACGCGCGATAGGTGCACTTATACCGTACCATTTTTGAGGTAGGTAGCATATAACCTTTTTGTCTAATAAATAGATATATAGCTTATTTTCGGATTATAAAACCTGGATAAAAATTTTTTAATGATAGTTCAGTGAATTCAAATTGGGTTCACTTGAACTCAGATTGGGTTCATTTGAACCCGAAATGGGTTCGAGTAAAACCGATTTGAATTCCTTTGAGCTCTATATTTATACACTTGAGTTTTATTTGGCATTGTAATAACCTTTTCGTTTGCTTTTCTTCAGACAACGACCATTATTAGGGTTAAGTTTAGTATTCGGTTAGGGTTAGCATTCTGTTAGGGCTGGATAATTGTGGTAAGTTATGTTCTTAATTTGCAATCTTGTTTATTAATAAAATTTTGCAGTATAGCTTTTTAAAGTTTGCATTTTTCTTATGATTTATTTTAAAATTTATAAAAATTGATTCTCCAAGATTATTTTTTTTGTCAATTTGGGCCATTTTCTTAGCATCTAGCCCATACAGCATATTATTAAGACTCCAATTTTATACTATATAACAGTTATATGCCAATTTTACGTAGATAATCTATAATAAATTAGGGCGCCAATTTAATAGGTAATTTGATGAAAAGTGACTTGGAACACCATATCTAGAGGCGAAGGTTTCTTATATCAAGTGATACTTATACAGTCAAACCTTTATATGCACCCTCTTGGGACTGACCATAGGCGTGCGATTATAAAGAGCGTGCATTTAAAGAGAGATTTTATAAGCGTCATTAGTAGTTGGGACTAAATTATATAGGGTGCATATTTATAGAGCGTGCATATATGAGGTTTGACTGTATGTACAGTATATTATTTTTAATATTTATTATCGTTCATAATTTTAAACGTTGAAGTAACGTGAAGGTTAACGTTGAAGTAACGTGATGGAGAACGCGTAAAGTAAACGTTCTGGAGTAAATGTTGATCTTGTTAGTTAATTGTATGTAAAATTTTTATTAAAAAAAAAATTTTGCATTTAATAAAATTTCGTGAATTTTATTTTTGAAGTTTGAACATATTTATGTAACGGGAAGATTTTATTTTATTTTATTTTTTTTTTTAAAAAAAAGCGAGGTCTTGCTTCAGTTTCTTTATTGAGCCTTAATATTACATCAATTATTACATGTAGTTACATACTATGTCAGGGGAAACTAAGACTCAGGCTGGTTTACCTCGTTATGCGGAAGGTCGGCCTCCGGAGCCACATCAGAAGTGATCTGCATTGATCTGCAGCTCGGGATTTTCTTGACAATAAGGATTCCTGATGTTTACTCGGATATCCGATTAGATATCCGAATCCAAACACTAAGCATAGCTACCACTTCCACCTCCACCTTGGTGTTGCAACAATTTTCTGCCCCGTTGATTAGTTCGGCGACTGTTAGCCTGATAAGTAACTCTCATGCCGCTACGCATGAGAGTCTGTTCGAGAGCAATTCGTTGATTTTGTTCTTCTCTTTCCTCGTAATTTAAGACCAATTTCTTAAGTTGTTGCTGCTCTTCGCGTTCAGCTTCTTGTTTGGAGCGTGTATTAACAGCTAATGCACTTTCAGCCGGAACTTCAATGGTTTTCGTCTATTAACCAAAATGTTTTGCTCGTTAAAATTGATGAAGTAGATATAGATTCATAAAAAAAATATATACGAACCTGCTGTTTGTTTCCTTTTTTAACCAGTAAAGTAAAAGACACACTACCATCTATCTGGTCTGCTGCTTTGTCTACACTTTTTGGATGCATTGGAATCGCAACATCTAACATAGCGGGCTTCCGTTCATATTTGCGTGATTCCATACTTTCAGTCATCATTCGACTAAACTCTCGCTCAAATTCTTCATCCTCTTCTATTGAAATCTTATCTGGTCGATTAGTATGAACAACTAACTCATTGTCATCATCAACCCCTTCTATTTCTTCAGTATCAGCTTGCTGAAAAACAATTAGACAAATTCGATCATGTTAGTTTACAAATAATGAATATAGCTTGAAAGGTTAGTTACTTGGTGACAATCACCTCTTCATCGGATCCTTCACCTTCGACTGCACTTCCCAAATATTCACGACCATCTTCATCTTCTGATGAAGAGGATGATAGCTCGCTTTCTTCTAAGCTCTCATCCTGGCTCTTTGCAACTCCTCCTGCTGCTTTTTGATTAAGTAATAATTTTTGATCAACTTCCTCAGCTGCTTCTTCATATGTTTTATACAAAATCATATTTGGTCTTAACATCTACATCAAATTTTGAAAATTTAAATTGACTGTTCCTCCGACTTGTTCTCATAAACATGTCAAGAAGTTATGATGGATCATACCTCAAACAAATCAGCAATCATGAATTCAATATCCATAGACAACTTTTGTTTTGTCAATATGTACATCTATGAAATTGAGAAATGGAATTTAAAAAAATGTTCACAAGATAAAAGGATAACCATCTGATAATAATTACCTGGAAAAACACCAAGAAATCATCAAGTCTTTTCTTTGAGCTACCTCTATCAAAGCACATGCCACAAGTGTCAAGTAAAGTGCAACATAAACGAACGCGAAAAAAGTCATTTGGTGCATCCAGGGGATTTATTCGAGCAGGAGAAGGTCTTCCAAATTCTATTTATAATATATGATATTATGCATATTATGCAATCTGAATAGATCATTACTAATTTAAATACTAAGATATAAACATTTACCATGCCCCAAAGTAACAATGGTATATAATGTATCAAATATTACGGGTGAATCAACCATTCGATAATTATAAAGTTCACCAAGATACTTCACAGTAGCAATACGACGTTGATTATGTTTAAAGATGTTTTGCTATATAAATTAAATAAGATTAATTAAAAATTATGAATTTGTATTGTTAACGTTCACATATACGGAATGAGATTTTGGTTACCTCTATCTCGATTCTAATATCTTCAACAACCCTATCAACTAATGTGACGCCAAAATCTGAATGGTAACGGTGCAATCCGGAGGCTAAAATTGCCATTAAATGTATATTGCTATATTTTATTTTCCAAATTTTAGTGAAGCATTTTTCGAGGACTTTGTACACCTATGATGCAAATTTTCGGATTGAATTCTATTTGTAATAGCATTTGTTGATTTGACGTGCCAATATTTGTTAATAATTCATACCTCTTTATCATCCCACTTCAATTTACGCAATAACTTCAATACTTTCTCAACGGTCTTTTTATTGAGATCAGAATAAATCAGCTTCCGAATATACAGTTCCATCACAGGTCGTTCTTTCTTGACAGTTGCTGTTCTATCAGGTGGATTGCACTAGGCCCAACATAATGAGGGTTTTAAAAAATAAATAGATTTGAACTTTTAGAAGTTATGAATAGAGCTATCTTACCTGATAGTATGCATTTTCCACCATCAGAAGTTGACGATTATCTAAATGCTGAACACTCTTTTTTCGCATCATTATATCCAACTATATTTAGCAATAATATTAAATTAGTCACATAAAGTATATAGATAACTAACTTTAGGTAATAAAATAAATACCATATTCCCCATCCGAATATTTGTTTCAGGGCTTTTAAATAAAAACCTTCCACAAGTTTCCAATAAATTACATGCAATATCTATATTTTGATTCGCAAAATCATCAATAACTACTTTGAGACAATGAAAGATTATGTGCTGGGGAGTGATCCGGAATTTGGTGAGTTCGGAAAGAAATCTAATATTCTATATGGGAAGATGCAATTAAAGTGTATGTTGTAAGAATTTTATTTCTTTAAAAAAAAAAAAAAATGCGAAAAAAAGTCAAGCTTGAGTAATTAAACCCTCAAGCCAGCGTTAATTGTGTGCAAACTATTAAAACATGAGATGCTAAATTTTCTTTACAGAGTTTGGACTCAATTAATAATATCATTACGTCAATTATAATAAACTCACCTTGATTTTTGTTTCTAAAAAATCTAGAGTTTTCTTTTTCTGCAAAGATTTGAATTCACCTTCCAGCTAAATCATTGTAAAAAGAGCAAATATTAAAAAAAATTATGATATAATAAAGATTCAAATAAATATAACCTTACAGCTTGTAAAACGGCTGTAGCAATATCTGGGTAATGAGGATTTAATGTGGCAATCAAACGAGAATAATAAGGTAATAGGTCAAGCCTTGTACGAGGGACTCCCACCAATATCTATTAATTAATACATTACAACAAATTTAGTGACAAATCATATTCTTAAACATTCAAAATTATTATTCACTTACTTTTATTAATTTCTTTCTGGATGCTTTTGAATTTAAATAACAAAAGTCCACAGCAGCTTGATCGATGAGGTCACGATTAACCATATTTGGAAGGCGAGACAAAAGAGAGTCGAGCTGAGCTGAAGCACCACTTTTATTACTTGTCTCGTTATCCTTTTTGATAGTTTGTGATTCAATATCGGATTGACCATTTGTTTTTTCCCGATCTAATTCTCCTTTAGCTTCTTGGTCTTCGTCGATCTTGTCCATCGTCTCAACTACAGTATCTTGGGTAGCTTTATTTTTGGTGTCATCAGATTGATTATCCTCGCTTAATTTGTCATCCTCATCCTTATCGTCCTTATCATCCTTATCATCCTTATCATGCCCAGTAGAAGAATGATCATCCTTGTCTGCATCAGCATCATCTTTTTTACCGGTTTTGACTTCAAGAAGCACACCAGGTACAAGTGTTTTCAGATCAATGAGAGATTCATAAAAACTTCGTGCATCTTCGTCTTCCCAGATGCTGTTTGTTAGATTATCCTATAAACATAAGCAAAGATGTCATGAATCATATGTCTAAATTTAGTGTTCCGAATAATCCGGATCCGACGGATTCGGATTATCATCCAATCCGACCCGTAAAATCGGTTTGGGCCAAAAGTTTCGGATTGCCCGGATTAAGCCTAATTTTGAGATTTTGGTCCAGTTTTTTCTTTCACATTGCACTAATATATAAATTCCAAGTCGATCATGTTAAAATATTTAGCCATTAAATATTTCGGATTGGCTCTGGATTCAAACCGAAATTTCGGATTCAGTCGGTTTCGGTTCAATCCCGGATCAAACCGAGTTTTTTTAATCCGAATCGGAACACTATGTCTAATTATTAATTGTAATTTTTAGAATCATATTAACTGGTTTAAAACTATACCTCTTTTTCATTAGGTAATGTCCCATCACGAATGATGGAACCCCCAATCTTTGTGGTTCCCTCATCTTCTGGCAAGTCAGGCATTTCTGCATCTAAAGAATCTGCCAAACTATTTTATAAATAAATAAAATAAATAAGTTATATTATAGTATTTTACGCCATGGGGTTGAACATAATTAAAATTTTACATTTGAGCATTTTGTAAAAATTTTTCAAAAGCCTTTACTGCTTTTTCGTAATTTTGTTTTGTCTCTTCAGGAATTTCACCACGAGTGATATAAGATTCGTGGTTATTACGATCCAATGCTTTAATTTTCTATATGTATCAACCAAGTACCAACGTTAGCATGTATAATAAAAAAAATATTATCATGATATACGAGCAATACAATCACATTGTTTAACGAACCTGGTGTTCCTTAATTAAACGAGTTTCCACACCTTTGAAATATTCGACTAATAAATTTTTAAAAAGCATTCGTTGGGAAGCGCTGACAATAGGGTCGCTATCCGAGTCTGCTAACTCATTTTCGTTATCAAGGCCAATGTCGCGATCATCACTAGTAGTAGCATTGTTCTCGTCATTAACAGTGGTAGAAGTACGGAGATTCCTGCGTGTACCGATCATTTCGGTGCCAAAATATTTGACAAAGGACACAGCAAGCGGAAGGTTTACATGCTTGTTGTCATGAGAGAACTATTCATATTTAAGTAAACAGACACTTGTTCAACATCGCCTGGATCAACACGGATGTTATCTGCACGGAAATCATTATGCAAATGGATGTTTACGACAAACCAAATCTTTCAACACAGTATACATGAACCCTTCACCGGAGGTTTTTGTCTCTTTGAGTTCTTTCATTTCTTTGATCGGGCTACTGACGAACCCAGCAACATTATCTTTGACACCATTTACACCACCCTCTCCTACAGCAGCACCTCCACTATTCAATGCAGCAACACCATCTTCAACATTTCTAAGAACACCTATTAACCATAATTCACCTGCAATTCTGAGCAAAACACGTTGTTTTAAAATTCGGGAACTTTCCTCTTTTTCGCGTTGCTCGGTATTGAGGACTACAGGTTGCTTATTAGGAGGTGCAAGGGATCGTGCCAATGTATGTGTTAGAAATGGAGTAAATGTGTCTGGAAAACGTTGATGCAGTGCTGAAATCACCTTTAAAATAATTAAAATGAATATTATTGAAAAGATCATTTTTAACCAAAAATAAAATAAAATATTGAATCATTTAAACAAAAATTCTCACTTCGACAGCAGCCCAGGCATCTGCTGAAGCCTTGCATTTTTGTACACCTTCGATTACAGCGACTACAACTTCGGATATATATTTTTCTAAAGTCAAGGTCTTAATATCCTTCAATAATTGTTGTTGATATTCAGCTGACAATTGAGCTTTGCATTTTTTGATGAAGCCAGTATTCTTTTTTATATTAGAATCTAAGTTTTTAAAGGCCGAAGAATCTTGTAAAAGTAAAAAGATTTTAATAGCCGGTTATTTTAATGCATAAACCATCTGACTATAATATAAACTTTAAATTATACCGGGCTTTCCTTGCCTCCATGCTGCTAAGTTAGCATTTCTCAATTCCTGGCGTCTTTCACGTTTAGTGTGGTTTTCTGAATCTACTTCCATTGCTGCAAAATTTCGAAGTTTAAGCTTTTAAATAAGAAGTTGTTTAGCGAGAAAGTACTAAATTTTCAAATTCCGAGGTACAATTGCTTGTTAATGGTTAAAGTTACCGAAATTAATATGTTCGGGTTCCATAGAAAGACATTCATATGATTGGTTAATTTACGAAGATCAAAACGTGACCATCACTCAATCAAATCGATCAAATTTCTAGCGAAGCTTTATTTATTATATCTGTGTATTTCGGAAAGTAATTAAAGTAATTAAAGTAATTTTTTTAATATTGAGACCTTTATTAGAGATGCGGCACGAACTTTTAATCCATATAATTAATGAAACAATAATATATATATACTCATACATATGGGATTTTTGCTTTCGTATGAACTATATAATAATTACTATATCCCATAAGGTCATATTCAAGACAAAAGCCCTATATTATCGGCCTACTATTTAACCCCAAAGCTACACTTATTAATGTTTTTAACCCTATAACCCTATAACCCTATAACCCTATAATATTCAAAATATAATATTCAAAATACACAATGCTCCTTTAAATCTTACGTACAAATTTATTTTTTTTTTGTTAACCGTTTCCATCATTTAGAATTTACATGTAGTAATATGACTAGTAAAAATATTCGAAGCTTTTAGGGTTATTGAAACATTCGAAGCTTGGCTTATACACTGATTTTTTGTTAGTGAAACGTTACCTTCTAAAAAGTACTGATTTACATCAATCAAACTTCCTAGCCAATCATATGAAATTTTCCTATAAATCTTGTAAAAAAAAAAAAAAAAAAAAATTCATCTGTTAACGTTTCAAAGGTAAGAAAGAAAAAAGAAGTTTTTATGATTTTTTACGGAATGATGATATAATTATTCTTTCCCCGTCTTATCGACCATGGTGAAAACCGAAAGATTCAATACTTTAGCCAGTTTATTTCTGACAACCATAAAAAATATTGTATTTAAACGAAAAAAAAAACGACTATTTATACTAATTATTATTTCCACTATTTTTCACTGTATGGATTATATAGATATTTATTATTATCTCGTCCTTTACAAGTGTGTAATGAACTACGTTAAGCATTATCGATAGTCATGATTTTGAAATTGGTAAATTAAATTTCAATTTATCTTCTGCTTTGATATGATGATAGCATACCGTTTATTCGCAGTTTCCACCGAAAGGGTTACCTAATGATGGCTAAACACTTCCTTGGATGTCTGATCCTTCTGAATTCTCTTTGTACAATTTTTATTTTATTGTGTATATAACTAATTACTTTTTTTTTTCTTTTTTTTGTGAACTAGGGATCAGCCCAAATTAATATTATTCTGGAACCCGTTAACAGGTTATCAATCAATTATAATAATATTTTTTTATACTTCTGTCGGACTATTCATCGCATAAACCTGGTTTTCAAGATGAACTGCCTAAATTGAACGACACACTTAAGTATTAATTGGGAGTAAAGGTCAGTTTCGTTAAGTAACAATGCTTTTATCTGTTATCTAAATGAGCAATGAGTAAAATTAATGGTTGCAGAGAATGATGAAAACGAACTAAAAATCATTGATAGGAATTGCCGTCAGAAAGATTCATGTTGATACAAGGTTCTCTGAACTCTCAACGTCACCCGATATTTAATAAAGGATAATGACACTTAAGTGATCTCATAAGTAATCTCTTTGCTCACTCATTTTAGGATGAATCCAATCGATCGTTAATATTCAGTAGGGTGGGAATGGACCGGCCCAACGGGCTTTTAGGGCTTTTTTTGGAAATTAATTCGGGCCACCCAAAATTCTAATCACATGACAAACCATCATATGTGACTAGTGTTTTTGAAAGGTGGCCCAAATTAATTTCCAAGAAAAGCTCGAAAAGCCCGTTGGGCCGGCCTGTTCCCCACCCTATTATACAGTGCTACGTGCTAAAAGTGAAATTTCCGAAATTATGCTGAACTGCACCTCAAGAACTTGTATGAGATTTATTGGATTATGTAGGATTAATCAATTAAAGAATAAAGGTGAGTGATACCGCGGATAATTAAGCCTTCTAGATTTATTCGTTGAAAATATTTAAAGGACGTAATTGGGTGTGGTTGGTTATGACGCTTATGTGCGAGGCAGAAACACATAGGGATAATTCTTTTATTAAAATTCAAAGTTTGACTGAAATCACCATAGTTATACCTCTGGCGTGAAACCTAAAGGTGAGAGGTGAGGTATAATGTTGGTTGCAAGTCAAGCACTAATGGTTTTGGTAAGGTTTGGAACTGGATATATAGCAGGATATATATCCTATTTTATATTTTTTAATTCGGATTTGTAAACGACATTTGTAAAAAGATCATTTGAATAATAAAGCTTTGGTATAATAAATAGTTGGTGTATTTTACAGATATTTCTTAATGATTTGAAAAATTAAGCATAATAATAACTCAATAAACAAAAAAAAAAAAAACAAGAAATGAGTGTCTAATTTATTTAATCCTTTTAAATTATCACTTATAAAGTAAATATTTGATTTTTTTTTTATTAGGCTATTCAAAGTTAAAAAATTTTATATATAAAAAACGTATAAAATCTTTCTATAGACATCTAAAAAAAACCTACGTACCTGAATAATAAATACGATCAAAAATTTTTTTTCAAAATTTTGCACCGGCTGGGTTATGAGAACCAATTTATTAAGTTTGATGCCTTATAATCAGCCGAAACTAATCGTTTTTAAAAAAAAGTTTCGTGAAAATATTCATTTGCGTACCGCGGAATATATGTGCACGCGAAAAATATGATCACTATTAACATATATTGGCAGAATTGACCAAAATATTGTAGTAATGCAGTAACAAAAAGTTGTAATTGTACGTAATAACATTTATTTATCAATATTAGGTTAATTTACAAGTTATTTAATCAAAGTAAATTATCCACTCCTCATTATATAGATATATGCAACATTCAGAAAATAGATATAGACTGTTTACGTATCAATTTATCGTTATTAAAGATCTCAGCATTATCATTATGCGAATTATTATTATGCGACTATCTACTAAAATACAGAATTTAAATAGTAGTTATAGATTTTTTTCATGAATAATTACTGCTCAAGTCCATACTTCTAATAACATTCATTCTATTCTAAGTTTAAATTATGATAATCTAATCGGTTGTTGGATCATGTGATCTCAATACGATTTTAAATACACATCAATTTTCAATCTTCAGTAAAAGATGTTATTAAATAACTTATCCTCATCGATAAAAGCCAATTTTAGTCCGATAACATCTCTGATAAATTGTAAAAATAAACGTTTAAACATTGACTTCAAAAAAGGTTAGGAATAAAACTTATTTTAGGAATTTAATCATCTGTAATATAAATAATTGTTCACGATGGTAATATTATCATTTTTGTGTTAGTAGAATTTAATCTCATTCAACAAAGATATGCTACAAAAAAAGCGGCGGGTTCCACTCAAAATGGTCGAGATTCACCCGGTAAAAGACTAGGCGTAAAAAAATTTGGAGGTACCTGAATTACTTTCATTTGATAATTTGTTCCACAGCAAAAATGTCCAAATTTATATTCATTTTTATTTAGGCGAATTCGTTGAAATTGGGAATATCCTTGTTCGACAACGTGGGACTAAATATCATCCGGGAGAAAATGTATACGTTAAAATCTAGTTTTCGTTAAATATCAAAGCTCTGTCCAGTAATTCTCACATAATAATAATAACAAAAAATAGGTAATAATGGGAAGAGATCACACTTTGCACGCAGGACAGCCGGGATGGGTGCAATTCTATATGGATTCAAAACGTAAGAAAAAATGTATTGGAGTTGTGTTAGATCCGAATGATAAATTACCAAGACCACCTACTGAACCAAGAAGACGTAGATTCGATTTGATAGACATTACGCAATATCATGAGGAATTGCATAAATCTAGAGAAATTGCTATTTCAAAGAAATAAGAAAATAAATAAAGCTCATTTTTGCTTTTATATTACTTTTTTATTTTGTTTTGTTTGAATGAAAGCTTTCTAATATACATTCCTCTAAACATGTTCAAAAAAAGCAAGTGAAGAATATTATAATGTTGATATAATTCACTTGCAAATTTTATTATTTATTAAATCCGCTTTTGCACAATTTTAACATTATATAAATACAAATTTCTTTTCCTTCGGGTCACAAATACAACTGCCACACATTACAGGTTGTATAATAAAAAAATAGCCACGTAAATATTATTTTTTCAGTTAATACAAATGATAAAAAATCGGAATAATATACTTACAAATAAAAATTATTACGAAAAGTGGCATCTCTTTAGAGGATGGAAGCACGGGTGTAAGGTCTGTGACGAATGCAATCATCATTCACATCTATATTGTAAGACATGCAAAAAAGTGGCGGATGAAATATATAAGTGATGTGAATGTGATAATTCTCGAATTATTAACGTCAAATCTGAATTAGCGAATTTATCGTTATTGTTATACATTATTTGTCCACGTTCGTTAGCGTAATAATTCTGCATGTAAAATTGCTTATTTGTGAGACGGAGCTAGAGTGCGAAAGTGACGGAACGGCTATAGAAAAGGAATGTGTGAGTGGATGACAAATTTAGTATTACGAGAGACTTGAAACACATTTATTATTTTATATAACATATTATCACTTAGCTCAGATTGATGTTTCTAAATTTTAATTGTGTGCTATTAAATGTGTATGATACAAACTTGAGGCTGGTGACTACCAAGAGATAACTTGAAAACCAACTGACTCATAACTTCACCGCCAATTGACTGGAGCAGACGTGAAGTATGGCGTCTCCAGGGTAAATGTATAGTACACCAGGGAAGCACTCGCCGCCAATTGACTGGAGCAGACACGAGTAACTTCAGCGTAGTCAGTAGATCAACTGCCGCCGCCAATTGACTGGAACAGACACGAACAGTTGTTAGTCACCAAGCAATTCATACTTCACCGCCAATTGACTGGAGCAGACATGAAGTACGGCGTCTCCGCAGTAAATGTATACCAAGGGAAGCACCCGCCGCCAATTGACTGGAGCAGACACGAGTAGCTTCGGCATAGTTGCACTCTCATAATTTGTATAGCACTAGGAAACTGTTTCAAAAAACTGTTGTAAGTCCGGAGCGAATAAATTAGAAAACCAAATTTTTACGGCCCCTGGATATGATAATCATCTTATTACACAAACGCGTGAATATGCATATTTTGTTACACTAAATTAACAAATTTGGGACAGACATCCTTTTTCAGAATTATGTTCTTGATTTTGTTCATTATAAAGCATCAACTTCGTAAGTTTTGATGCATCAAAAACGTAACTTTTGATGCACTTTACTCGTCCATTAAATGTCCTTCGCTACGCTCCGGACAAATAACAGAAATTGCATTTTCCAAATTTGATTGGTCTGCATTTTTATGATCGGCAGGACCAGGGACGTGTAAAAATTTTAAGTAAATAAATACAATATTTAGAAAATTTTGAATTATCAAAACGCGTAACTAGACTTACGAATATGACTTCAGTTCTTAAATCTCTCAAATTCTTAGAGTTTAAAGTAATTACCTCAGGAAAAACATCGTACTTTTATTTTAAAGAGGTTTCAGCCCAACATTGGCAACTAAAACATTATTTGAGCTTTCGTTTAAAAAATGACGAAACTATTTTGCCGTGGTCTACAATATACAACGAGTGGCAACAGTCTCTTGAATTTATTTCCAAAAACTTGAATAAAACTATTCCAGGATGTGTGTCTAGCTTTTGCGTTGAACTACTAAAAATTTGTGACACTTTTGAAGGTGCCATTGTTCTCCGAGGTGTGAGAAGTTTTATGAAGAATTTTATCAACGAAGTATTGATCTGCAAATTGCTGAAAGACGTCGACTCTTGGAAACAACAATCTTTTCAGAACAAAAGTTTACAGAATTCTTACAAGCATCGGGCCAAAAGCGAATAGTGGAGGATATTGAAGATGCCGCATCGTCCAATGAAAAGCGTGTTTGTCATAACGTCGTACCTGAATTTGTTTGTACTTAAATTCGAATCCATATTGTTTGTTACGCGCAAATATTTTATTAACATTACTTCTTCCAATTTATTTCACAAGTCCCAAAATTGTGACATAGAAGAAAATAAAAACAATGAGGAGGTATAAAAATTATTACTTGTAATTAAAATTTTTAAATAGACATTTAAATAATTGACTAACTTTTTAATTTCTTAAATAGCCTGGTTTATTTAACAATCAAGAAGGTGGTGTTGAATATGATACCGAAGTTAGAAACCTTTTGAATGAATCAGAAACCTGTTCACAGGAACTTAGTACCATTCTAGCCGCTTTTAGAACCTATCAACATGAATCAAAGAATATTCTTTCAGAAAATGGAATTATGGATTTAAGAATTTGTTCTTTTGTACCTAAAAGAACCGGATTATGACTTGTTAATCGAAAAGGTTTTTGAGCCTATTGACAAAATCTTTCCAAAAGAGGCCAATGACTTTCTAATTGATTTCTTTTCAGAGGTAACCTATTTAGTTAGTGCTTCATTGGTGGATTGTAAATCATATACCATTGTATCAAGTATTAACTCAAAGAAAAAAATATGACCTGTTCGATTTGATAAAAATATTAAATTTTTTGGTTTCTATCACCTTATTTACAGAAATTGAGCGAACAACAATGGGAGGATAAGATCGAAAGCTTAATGGAAGATAATTCAGGGCAAAATAAATTTATAATAAAGTTAAAACGATTAATCATAGAAACGTTACCGATTTTGTAAGTATTCAAGGAATGCATCTTTTTTGTATATACTAATATGAATTTTACAATTTCTAGTTTTGACTCCTACAAATTAATGTCTGATAATCCACTTAAAAATAAGGAAATGACAGAAGAGGAATACATGAATACTTATATTAATCCAATTTTAAAAAATGCATTAATTCGGTTTTCTGATATTAGATATGTTCCGTAAATATACATTTTCATTAGCTTATCTTCTTAATTTATAGCAACAATTATCCATATTCTTGCAGAGTTGGCAAGGCTATCAAAGCCTCTACATATTGAAAAACCGTGATGAACCAAAAAGGAAGTGCAGATCATGCGGATGGAATAGCATACACATCCAACCAACAAAATTCCTATGAAATTTCTGTTACTGAGGGGAGCCGGCTATATGTTATAGAAAAAAATAAAGAATTTTATTCAAAATGCAAGAGCGGCAAAGGATATGATTAACTTTGTTGTAACTCAAGAAGTATTACATAAATGGCCACTTCCAGCATATTTTCGAACATTCATGGTCCAAATTTTCGAGTTTAACTTGCGGTTCTATTTTATGGAATATCTTGGTATGGATTACATCATATCAATACCAAATATGTTTAAAATTATGAATTGATTTTTCCTTTTTATAAAAGCTCAGTATTGTATTTTCGAAATTGAAACATGCGAAGTACCTACAGATTGGAAGGAAACCTTGCAATTTTCCTCTTTTTATCGGGCAATTGTAACCTGGGCAGTAAGTTATGCACTGCTGTTTGTGAGAACTTCCTTTGTTTTTCACTGGCTTACATTTTGTTTTGCAGCTATTGGTAGGAGAAGCCGATAAAAAATTTCAAGAATTAAGGAATAAAAGGAGTTCACGTTTAAGCAATTCTCACAATATACAAAAATTGCTAAGGCTTTCACATAATGACGATCGGGGCGGTACAAAAAAAGACATGACGATGAATAAGCTTTTCTAGATAAAAGTATGGAGTATGGCAGACTAAGTAATTTTTTGATTTTTCGAATCGTCAAAATAGAATATATTACGTGGTAGATTACTTTTACCATGTGTTTTAGAACTTTTTTTATATGCAGTATTGCAAAGTGTAGCGACTATTGTTTGTTCATAACAGATTTTATTTTGCAAATGTGAATACCTATGATTTGGTATGCAAATTTATGAATTAACAGATATATTCAAAAGTACTTTTATTGGCAGACAAAACATGATTACTTATAGGGCAAAAATAAAATAAATTTTAAATTTGCATTTTGTTCCCCCTGCTGTATGTACTACAACCCAGAATCATACCGTAATAAAAAAATTCTGTCATGCCGATATCGATATTGATATAGATAAACTTTGAATAAAAAGCGGACCGTTAAGTCATGTGATAATAAATACTTTATTTTTTTCCAGCACCAATGCGCGATACCTTAAGAACAAAATTACTGACCATTAGTTTGAATTTCGTGTATCCATGTGATATTTCAGCACGGATCGGTGCCGAGTCAAATAAACGCACACTTTGGTAAAAAAAAATCGTATGTAGTTGATGTACATAACACAGGAGGAACCGTCGATGTTACACGACTGATCCTTCACCCGGTGTGCAACATATAAAAAAATTATTTTACGCTAGTACGTACATGTTATGATTATGATTATAATCCAACAC